ATTGATCCCATTAAGAATTGCACCAAAAACCATAAGATGCCTAGGGATAGACCTAATCAAACAGGTAAAAGATCTGTACTCTGAAAAGTGTAAAACACTTATGAAAGAAATTGAGGAAGACACAAAGAAATGGAAAAACATTCCAGGCTCATGGATTGGAAGATCAAATATTATTAAAAATGCGGATACTACCTAAAGCAATCTATATACTTAATGCAATCCCTATCAAAATACCACCAGCATTTTTCACAGAGCTGGAACTAACTATCCTAAAATTTGAATAGAACCACAAAAGACCATGAATAGCCAAAGCAATCTTGAAAAACAAAAGGAAAGGTGGAGACATCACAATTTCAGACTTCAAGTTATATTACAAAGCTGTAGTAATGAGGACAGCATGGTACTGGTACAAAAACACACATAGACTGATGGAACAGAATAGAAAACACAGAAATGAACCTACAACTATATCACCTAATCTTCAACAAAGAAGGAAAGAATATCCAATGGAAAAAAATCTCTTCAACAAATGGTGGGAAAACTGGACAGAAACATGCAGAAGAATGAGACTGGACTAATTTTTTACACGATACACAAAAAATAAATTCAAAATGGATGAAAGACCTAAATGTGATAAAGGAAACCACCAAAATCCTATAGGAAAAACAGACCATAAACTCTTTGATATTGGCCATAGCAAAGTCTTACTAGAAACATCTCTGGAGGCAAGGGAAAAAAAGCAAAAATGAATTATTGGGACTTCACCAAGATAAAAAGCTTCTAAACAGCAAAGGAAACAAACAGCAAAACTAAAGGCAATCTATGGAATGGGAGAATATATTTGCAAATGATATACCTGATAAAGGGTTAGTATCCACCATATATAAAGAACTTATGAAAATCAAAACCCAAAGAACAAATAATCCAGTTAACAAATAGGTAGAAGACATGAATAGACATTTTTCCAAAGAAGACATACAGGTGGCTAACAGACACATGAAAAGATGCTCAATATCACTCATGATCAGAGAAATGCAAATGAAAACTACAATGAGATATCACCTCACAGCTGTCAGAAACATTAAAATTAACAACACAGGAAACACCAGATGTTGGTGAGGATGCAGAGAAAGGCAAACCCTCTTACACTCTTGGTGGGCATGCAACTGGTACAGCCAGTCTGGAAAAGAGTATGGAGGTTCTTCAAAATGTTAAAAATAGAACTACCCTACCATCTAGCAATTGCACTACTGGTATTTACCCAAAGGATATAAAAATACTGATTTGAAGGGATATATGCACCCTGATGTTTATAGCAGCATTATCAACAATAGCCAAATTATGGAAAGAGCCCAAATGTCTATCAATGAAAGCATAAAGAAGAAGTGGCATATATACACAGTGGAATATTATTCAGCCATAAAAAGTATGAAAACTTGCCATTTGCAATGACATGGATGGAGCTAGAGAGTATTATTTGAAGAGAAATAAGTCAGTCAGAAAAAGACAAGTACTATATTATTTCACTTATATGTGGAATTTAAGAAACAAAACAAATGAACATGGGGGAAAAAAGAGAGAGGCAAACCATAAAACAGACTCTTAACTATAGAGAACAAACTGAGGGCTGCTGGAGGGCAGGTGGGTGGGGGGATGGATTAAATGGGCAATGGGTATTAAGGAGGACACTTGTGATGAGCACTGGGTGTTGTATGTAAATGATAAATCACTAAATTCTACACCTAAAACTATCATTACACTGTATATTAACTGGAATTTAAATAGAAACTTGAAAGTACAAAAAAAAAGTGTATACAAAATGAAATAAATTAGCCTGTAAAGAAAAAAATTAGAAGTGAACTATAGTATCCTGATATAGCCACCCCCTGACAGTTTCCTTACTACCACTTCAACACTTAATATTGTATTCCCAAGAGGTTCCAAATCAGAGCTTCCTTTCAGCATCCTCTAGGATTCCTTCAATTTGTACTCACTCACCTAGATCACTTGGAACTAGACTATCTTCCAGGAATAGGACCTCAGCTCGAAGATACCTGGTGTAACAGGAAGAAGAGGCAGATATCTCTGTTATATAGTCCTAAAGTCAGAAACTAATGAGAATTGCTTGTAGTTTCATAGCTAGAAAGTTGCCAATACAGCCATAGGTTCTATTTTTCCAAGTCCTCACCTAACAGTAATATAGCTTGGTAATAGAACTTTAACAAAATCTTATAGAATAACTACCATGGACTGAATGTTTATACCTCAGCTGAATTCATATGTTGAAACCTAATCCCCAGTGTGATGGTGTTTCGAGGTTGGGCTTTTGAGAGGTGATTAGGTCATGAGAATGGAGCCCTCATGAATGGGATTAATTTCCTTATAAGAGCGAACCCAGAGAGCTCCTTTGCCCGTTTTGCCATATGAGGACACAGTGAGGACAGTCATTTGTGAATTAGGAAGCATCCCTTACCAGTTACTGAATCTGTCAGTGCCTTGATCTTGGGCTTCCCGGCCTCCAGAACTGTGAGAAATAAATGCTTGTTGTTTAATCCACCCAGTCTACAGTATGTTTGTTATAGCAGTCCAAATGGACTGACATTTTCATGGACTACACTTCCTCAGTCTGCTTTGATTTCTCCAGATCTCAACTAGTTAAAAGAAAGGTGGGGCAAAGTGATGCCCCAAGGGTTCTCTGCAAACACCCTTTACCATACTGTCTAAGGTCAAGTTGGAGAAGGTCCAGTATAATATAAATAAGAGTAAGTACATCGATTATGGTAAAGTTGATGGCTAATCTCCAGTCTTTTTTCAGCCAGCACTACAGCTATTTCTTCTTCAACTACCCTGTGATAATCAACTACCCTGTGACTCTGCAATATTTTACTTGAAATTGAATGTAAAGGAGACTTGGACCAGCAAATCTTCATTAACTTTCCAACTACAACAACAAAAGTAAAGTTTATGTGCCAGGGAATGCACAAGTAGCCTTGCACTGATTGTGACATAATTATGTCACAGCTTTCCTGTGAAATAGATATTATTAACCACATTATACAAATGAGGACACCTTTACACAGAGAAGTTGTGTCACTTGCCTGAGGTCACACAAGTGGGAAGTGGCAGAACCTAAATTTGAATCCAAGTCTATCAGTCTCTAAGTCAATGCTCTTCATTGTTATGTCAGACTGCCTTTCTTTAAAGAGATTACTATTCAAAAATTTGCAGGGGCGCCTGGGTGGCTCAGTCGTTAAGCATCTGCCTTCGGCTCAGGTCATGATCCCAGGGTCCTGGGATCGAGCCCCACATCGGGCTCCCTGCTCCGCGGGAAGCCTGCTTCTCCCTCTCCCACTCCCTCTGCTTGTGTTCCTTCTCTCGCTGTGTCTCTCTCTGTCAAATAAATAAATAAAATCTTTAAAAAAAAAATTTGCTAAGTTTTATTCATTTTAAGAGTTTCTTTTATATAAAACAAATTTAATTCCTTTAAAAGTTCTGTCAGGAAAAAAATAGACTATAAAAAGGCATAGGTTAAGTTATTTTTAAGGGAGTGTTTGGCTTATGAAAAAATAAAAATTAATCTGTACTTTCAGGCTTCCAAATAATTCTAACACAGTTGAAATAACTAGGCTGTATGATAAAGCAGAAAAAATACACGTGATATATTTCTTAGTTGGAATACTGGTTCTGTCATGTACTTACTGGCTATATGATCCTGGACAAGTTACTGAAATATATATAAAATACCTGTATGTCCAGAGTGGCCTATATGTCCAGAAGATTAAATGAAATCAGGTACATAAAGTGACTAATGATGTTTGGTGTGTGGAAGTCCTTCAACAGATGGTAAATTTTATTGTCATTAATATTATTAAGAACAACACTAAAGGGGTAAAGAAGTACAAAGGAGGAGGTGAATTAAAGCTGGTTTGATAGAAGATTTTAATGGTATGATTCAATGTTACTTTAAGCATGCTTTAGGGAAGAACAAACAGAAAAAATGAGTAGATTCTCTATAATAAATGAATACTAATGATGATGATAGAGAGATTCTTCCTATACTCTGTTACTGTTTTTCATTTTGAAGCAGGGAGCTATAAGATGGAGTTAAGAGAAACTGGTTCCTTATATTGATTGAGAATAGCCTGGAAGGACCTTAAGTCCACCTTAAACCTAAATACTGTGGTTGAAAAATTCAAAGGGTCCAGCCAGTAGCAAGGAAAAATAGCAAACTTCCATGCCCTGCTATTCAAATTCTCAGAAGCATTTTTTTCAGAGAAATCTATGGCCTTAGGAGATATTCTGAGGTGGGCTTCCACATCACTGTTGAGATTATTTAAAGCACATCTAAACAACTGATTATGTGAAATAGTGAAGAAATAATATTTATTTTTTGCACAGGACTAAAGTTGCTTTAAATTTTACTCTGAATGTCTCTTCCCTAGAAACACTTTTAAAACTTGATCAACGTTCCACTTGATGTTTTAGGAAAGCATTTACTTTTAGAAAAAGCAGTTGGCTGAGTTACTGCATACTCTGACTTCTTAGCCATCATCTCTTGGGGAAATGATTGACTTGCTTTGCCATATATCCACAGAAAGCACCACTCATCTGGTGACAGCTTCCCAAACTTCAACTAAAAGCCATTACCGGAATAATCTATGTTAAAGGGGCTGAGAAGAATCAATTTAGTCCTATTTTAGTGATGGGAAATGCCATGCTTCCCATAAGACTACTATTTCCTGAACAAAAGAGTTTTAAATGTCAGGAGAAAGCTTCCATTTTTATATTCCATTGGGGGAAAATTCACCATTTTAAACATGACAAAGAAAGCACAAGATTCTTCAAAGGTCCCAAACCACCACTTTGAAGCAAAAATTCTCAAATTACTTCAAAATAGGAGTTAAGTAAGCCAGGTCTCATGTTTAACTGTATATCAAACACAGCTTTTTATACCAAACAAAACTTTTTAAAAACTTTTATAAAATAAACGCATACTTTACCTGGTAATTGTTTTGGTTTTGTGATAACCTCAATTGGTTTGATGATGCAAAATGTGAAGAAAAATTACTCCGTGATGGATTTGTATTACTGTACATTGTGGTAGCTACTGTATGTAATGAGGTCCGTGGTGTCAAATGGTAGTCTCTGTTTTGATACAGTACATTGTCTGACAAATCTCTAATATTCACCATTTGTGAATTTGGCATATTTCTTCCTGGTCCAGGCAATGGTGTACTTTGGTTCTCTGTTCCAAGGGATCTGCCACTTTCATAAAATCTTGAGTAGCTTGGTATCTGTGCTCCCATAGATGCCAACTCTTCCTCTTTGGCATACTCATCATCAGCATCTCCAGTCTCCATTGCAATGGACAAACAAGTTCCTTCTGCTGAACTAGGCTTCTGTGGAGCATTTCCTCCCAGAATTCTCTGGGGGTAATCACTAACAGCCAGTGAAAATACCTCACGGATTTCCAAGTTTTGTGTTCTACAGTAAGGGTCTCTAATAGGTGGCTTTTGCCCACATAAGTTATGCGATGCTAGACCTGTGTGTTCAGGCTTATATGACCTTTGAACTCCAACTGGTTCAATTTTGCAAGGTCGGTGGCACACAGGTGGCTTTTGAGGTACCATCACCTCAGAGGCTTGCATTGAAGAGCTTCCATAGTTTTTCTTTGTGTGACTGTATACTGAATTTCCAGCATTTAGCACACTTGTCTGTCTTGACAAGATAATTGTTTTTTCACCTAAGAGCAGAGAGGCATTTTTACAGTGTGCTACTTGTCTTTGAACAGGAATGTGCAACTGAAATTCAGTATCATTTTTACTGGCTGTTTTCTGAATAGGAATTTTATGTGCTTCTGTAAGTTGTGTATCTAAATGTTTGGTTGTCCCCTGCCTACTTGATGAACTTGATGGACTGTATGTGCCAGTTACAATGACATCATTATTGGCAGATGTCCAAGAAGACTGTTGGCTTGACGGCCGAGTGATGTTAACTACATTCCTGACTGTAATGTCTGGAGATGTCAAAGAGGTACCAGGAAGAGTTCCTGTTGTTGCTGCTCCTGATTCAGAATTCTTACTACTCATTTTTCTTCTCTTATTGCCAACCCACGTCTGTAATGATAAAAAATGACAATATGGAAATGTTCTTAACAAAAAAAAATAGGAAAAAACACTTTCAATGTGATAAATTGTATTCTCATTTGTCATAGTAGTAAGGCCTATACGAATTTAAGACACTACATCAAAAACAAATGATGTACGATATGTTGGCTAATTGAATTTAAAAAAATAAAAACAAAAATAAATAATAAAATAAATAAAATAAATAAAGCAAAAAAGATACAATAAAAGAAAAAGTAACTAAAGTATACGGTAAAAAAGTAAAAATAAAGTATAAGGTCAGACATGTTCAAGAACTTGCTCTTAATAAATATCTAGGAACTTTGGTAACAGAATTGTATTATTGCTTCTTTCCTCAAAATCCATTCAATTAATCTATAGCAAGAATCCTAAAAATGTTTATATCCCTTGACCTAATAAATCCATTTCTAGGAATTTATCCTTAAAATAATCATAGATATATACAAAGTTTATATGCAATTATGTTCATCATATATTTAATAGTGAAAACTTGGAAGCATACTAAAGTAGGACATTTAATGACATTGGAAAATGTTCATAGTATTATTAAACAAACATAATCTTCAGGTTTAACAACTTCTGTTCTATGAATATATCATGACTTGGTTAATTTAATATTGCAAGATATTATTGGGTTATATTGGGTTACTATTATAAACCATACTAAAATACATGTCATTGTATATACATCTTTGTGCTAATTAATCATTGAACATTATATCAAAAACTAATGATGTACTAAAAAAAAAAAAGAATGTTATCCTAGAAGGGAAAGTGTTGGGCTTTTTGATACTTTCAAAATACCCTCCAACGTATAAGAGTTCTGGTTTCTCCACACCCTCAACAATATTTTGCATTATCTTTTTGTAGTATTTACTAGCCTAGGAGCTAATATAAGGTATATAATTGCTGCTTTCATTTGAATTTCTATGGTTACTATATTACTTTAATAAAATTGCTTATCTATTAATTTTACTCATTTTTATATTGGGGTATTTATCTTTTTAAACTGATTTATAAAAGCAATTTTTTTACTAGAGATAGCAACACTTTGTCACAAGTTGCAAATATTTTTCCCAGTTTGTCATTAATTTATGGTAGTTATTTCCTTCTTTATATTTTTCTCTATTTACCAAATTTTATATAGTAAATGTGTATTACTTTTATAAACAGAAAAATCATTATTAATAAAAATAATACAAGAGGTTGGCATTCAGGTTTGATTACAACATATGTACTTTAGTAGTATTACACTGAATCATGATTATACAATAAGAAATATGCAATAAGAAATATTACATTCCATAATGTGATCAGTAAACTTTATAACTATTTTAAAATGCATACCATATTATAAACTACCAAAACACATTAATCTATTACAAATTTTTTAAAAAATAAAATAAGGGAAAATATTAAATAAACTAGCCTTTCACAAACATAGTGCAGGGTGTATTTGGTTAACTTTTATGTGATGTGTTTTTGAAGACCACAAAAATTTCTGTTTTTGATGTTTATAAAATATACAACATTAATGTTGCTGTAATATTATAAATAAAAGCTAACATGTATTGAATCCCCATTATATGTTTTATATATGTTAGCTTCTTTGATTATTTTTTCTAATTGTTCAAATGAAAAAAACTGATGTTCAGAAATATTAACTAGCTTATAGAAGGATATCCTGTCAGCAAGTGATGGAGCAATGATTCAAAATCAATTTTACTTGACCTCAAAGCACATTCTCCTTCCACTATGGCAAGAAACTTCTGAAATGGTCATCTTTGTTGGCCATTTTATTTTTATAATTAGTATTTCTCTAACAAGGAAAATGTTCCAGAGATGTAGATGCTCAATTTTGCTTCACATGAGGCTATGGGAATTTTAAACTCACTCTAATTTAGTTTTATACTAAATGGCAGAGGTGAGAATTACAAGCAGAGGGATAAATAAATATAAATGTCAAAGGAGAAGGAGGCAGAGTAGAAAAAGTGAAAGGTTTTAAAATATATACTCAAAAGAAATATTTAAATAGAAATATTTTTGGATAAATATAATTTCAAGGTATGGTTCAAAAAGGTAAATTTTACAAATATTCAAAATAAGTTACTGTATCATGGCTTTTCAAGTATGTAAAATATGCATAGGAAGCATAATGCATTTGTTCATAGTTTTAAAAAATGTACAATCATTACACTTAACAACTTTCAAGCATAGTGAATTTGTAACATTTGAACTCAAGAAGTACTACATCTGGAGGGCAGCTCTGGGCAATATTTCTAAGAAAACGAATAAATGATCTCATTACTATAAATACCTTAATGCAGGAAGTTTAAGAGTGATCTTAGTGAATTGCAAATTTATGGCTTATTTTAATAGTTCATGTATATATAATGAACTGTAATATATATAATGAACTGTAATCATTCACATATATAATGGACTGTAAAACTATTAAAATAAGCCATAAATTTGTAATATATTTCTACATATAGTTACTTATATAGTTTTTAGATATTTAAATTACATACTCATAAAAAAGTAAAATGCACTAGAATATCATGTGCATATGAAGCTCAGCTATCTAACAATTTCACTTGTCCAGAACACAGCCAACACAGATATCAGAGGATACATGTACCTTATTAAAAGCACAACCCTTGACCTTAAAACACACTCTCTCTTAGTTTATATAGGATTTCACCAAATCTGGTATTCTAATCTATAACAAATTAGAAATAACAAAATAAGCAGAGCATTGGTGACAGAGATTGCTATTGGAGGCAACTTGATAGCACTGAAACAGAATGTCCATGAAATTTTGCTCAATAAAAAGGAGAAGAAACAACATAAGAGAATTAATATGAGAAATAATTGAATAGTTTGGAGTTCTTTAGTGAAGGAGAAAATCACCCCATATAGCTTACCATGTTATGAGCATTATTACTTTATAGCACAATGCAATAATTCATTTTCATAATGAAACTCTGAGTCAAAAAATAAGGGTTCAATGATTTTCAATATTTTCCTTTGAAGTTAAAGTGAGAAAAGGTATACTTAAGAAATATTTTTAAAATTCTGAAAATAAGGAAAATTTATTGCCTGAGCATTCCCAATAACTGAATTAATTTTCTCTTAAAGCCATTCAGTTACAGGATCCAAAAATTACCAGTGCTTGTAGAATATAAATGATTCTCATTCCAAATGCCTCATTTGTTGAGAGAGAAAATGGGTCAAACAAAATTGATATGATGAGAATTTGGGGTCTATAGCTAACAAAGCAATACTACATAAAAAAGAAAGACATTAGGTCACCAGTTCATAAAATTCTCTTTTAATTCTCTCTTTGAAATTCAGTCTCCATTGCTTCTCAGCCTTCTGGCTAAGATCAAATGAAATTCACTGTCTCCAAACATGTTTTCCTTTTTCTATACCTCCTTCTTTGATTCTCTGTTCATTTACTCTATTTTTTGCATGGATGTTTTAGCCTTTTAAGTTCATTTTACATTGGGATCAGGTTCTCAGTACCATGGGAGGGTTCTGAGGAAAAACACAACAAATACTATATTAAAATAATAAAGAAAAGTCTCTTTCAAGTAGAACATATAGACCTAGCAAAATATTGAAGGCAGGGGAGGTTATAGAATGATGAGTCTATAAACAACTCTCTTCTCAGACTGGAGAAAGCAACCAAAATTGTGTTGGAATTTAGATTAGGGAGACTGAATTTCTATACAACTTACACTCTTTTAGAACAGAGAGAATGAATCTGTTTTAGACAATTCCTTAAAACTTAAATAATATTTTACTTGTAAGTTTACAATCTAGGAATTGATTTCCCTCATTCTAATTGTTTTAGATTTCATACCATTTGGAGCATAAATATAGATCCTTGTATTTCAGCACTGTCAATATTCAAGTACAATCAAGTAAGTTACTGGGGGGAAATTGCAATAACAAACTGGAAATACGAAAGGTCACATAGTCCATAAGCAGCTGTCTGAGAAGGCTTTTCACTTTTAAGTAATGGTAAAATAAAAGAAAAAAAGAAGAAGAAATAAGAGGAAAAAAGAAAAAAATTTACTCCCAAAAAATGAGTTTGTACTTATAAAACCCATCTCATCAATTTGAAATATTACACATTTATTTTTTCTAAGAAATTAAACATTTTTCTATGAGATTTACTAAGGGGAAATAGGGACTTGAATTTACTAAAAGGACAACCTTTGACCTTAAAACATACTTTCTCTTATCTTATGCACAATTTTACCAAATCTGGTACCAAAAAAAAAAAAAAAAACATTAAAAAGTCTAGGGTTCATAGTAAAGAAGAAAATTGAGCTGTAAATTCAAAGAGGGAATTTATAAATAGAAGATATTTCTAATTCTTACACGAATCTGAATATAATGGTTGATCACAGCACATGAAAAACTGGTATCCTGTGATATTTTGCCCCTAGAATTGGTGTCATAATTCCCTTTCAAAGGTGAATATATCCTTTAGTCTTTAAGAAATAGATTTTCCAAAGAATTCTGCTTATCAAGAGATTTTTTTATATTTAGGGTCTTTTGAAAGTTCCTCTAAAAGAAACATAAACCTAAAAACAGATGTCCTTTCTCTTTGACAAATTAGCCTAATGAATGACAAGGATGAGAAAGTTGCCAATCTTTGAATCCATAAGTTTTCAAGCCAGGAGTATTTGTACCATGTTCAGACACACATGAAAGGACCTATGCACTCAATAAAATCTGTAACTAATTCTGTTAGATTTATCTCTTGTCTCCTCTCTATCACCTTCTCATTGCCTTTCACAGAAGTTTAAGGGCTCTGATTTTTACAGCTGAATTACTATGGTTTTGATAAAGGAAAATTTCCTCCCGTGGGATTTCTTGTTTCCTATTCATTAACTAACCCACTAAAATATATGCATTTTACTTAGAAAAAGGAGTGGGTGTTCATAAAAAAAGCCAGGTTTTCCTTAAAAAGACAAAAATACTGAAGTCAGAAATGCCTGATAAAAAAGTTCAAATACACCAAGAAAATATGCTAGGTACACGATAGTCCCTTGGTAAATGTCTGTGTTACTGATATCATTTTGGCGGGTTATCTCCAGATTAACCCTGGGTTTAAAGAAGGCACAGGATAAGCAACTAATCTTAAAAATATTCATTAGTTCAAAGGATTGGGAGTTTTTAAAGCTATGTTTATGATGCAAAAGTTTTAGTGTCTTCAAGGTATTTACAGAAACAAATACATACTAAATGATTAGCTCTACCTATTATTTTTTAAAAAGTAGTATTTTTATACCAGGGAAATGAAACTGTTTATAAAGTTAAGGACTCCATACTCTGATGATTTTTCTCGTGTTAAGCAATTATCACTTATAAAAAGCTATAAATTCAAGAATTACGACCTCAATACTTACCCTGACTACACTGAAGTCCAGCTTAGTCTCCTGTGCACACTGTAATATGAGCTGAAAGCAATTTTTACTTTGATTTGTCATTCCATTTTCATAATAACGCTGTAAAATCCTTTGTTGTTCTACAGTAAATACAGAACGTAGATTCATCTAAAAATAAAAGAAGATACTCTGAAAATTGGAGTAAGAATTGGGTGTATGCAGAATTTGCATGCTTCCATTTTTTATACAGTTTCAGCGCTTCAAAGTTGCAAGATTTATTTAATTGAACTAATTCCCAGTAATGGGTAATAATTTGTGTGCCAAAGGGAAACAGGTTCTAACTGAAAATTATATATAATGCAAACATTTATTAAATTTGTTCAGAAAAAGTAACAACTTTAAGGACAAAAAAAAGAGAGAGAGAGAGGAAAACCCTATCTGGTTAGTGTCAGTACATTGGGAAATAAAGGTTCTTTCGATGAAATAAATATTTATGGCTAGTAAAGCCAGAGATGGTGGTAGCCATATATTCATGGTCAGTTATCAACAGGAACACTCACTGTTCTTTGTCAAACAAGGCATCTGGCATATGTCTTACAGCCAGAAATTGTGGTCTGAAACAAAGGGATGGCTTTTATTTTTCCTTTCTTGAATAAAGGGGTTCTTCATATACATATTAAAACAAAACCTCTCTTAAAAAGCTTAAAAATAAACAGGAAGTGTTGGTGACTCAAAATATCTCTGCTTTAGGCAATACTAACCAAAATAATTATTTTAATAACTACAGTATATAAATCAAAGTTCAAAATCATGTGCATTTTACTAAAAGTAAACCACGTAAAAATATGTACTTTTAATTAAATTGACAGCATCATAATTATACAAAAAAAATTTAAAAATGTACTTTATCCTTTCTGCCAATACACAAAGTGTTTAATATTAAGAGAAAACAACCTGTGAAACTCACAATAAAAAGCAGGTCAAACTCTTTTTTTCTTAAAAAGGATGAATTCTAGTAGTGCATTTTATAAAAAAGAACCCTTGTAATTAGATTAAGGCAACTTCTGGTTCTTATTAGAAGTGTTCATACTGAAATTGTCATTCCTAAAAGCTGACAGAAAGAAAACCCTTCCCAAGGAAATTGTCCCTTCAAAATTAGGAAAACAGCAACAACAGAAACACTAAAAGCCAAACCAAACAGAAAGCATTCTAGTATACTGGGTATGGAAACAACCAAGTACACTGATGTGGAAATAAAAATAATGTTCCTTTCTCTGAATATGTTGAACAATAAAGAAATTAAAGACAGCCATATAACTGTCTATTGCCATTTGTACACCTGACTTATTTTCTTGCCCACACAAACATCTTCTTATCTAATGTTAAGAAATCCAATTAGAGAAAATCAGATGTGGGAGAGGACACAGGAAAGATGAGTAGAGTTTCTCCCTGAAACTTTCAGGAACAAAGTAACTCCACTACTTTCTGAAGGGGATTGCATTCTGCAGTGTGACCAAATTTTAAAGAATTTTTGGGCCAGAGGGTAGTGATGATATCCATCAAAGCAACATTTACTATCATGGCTGTCACCTTTCACAGCAATTTGGGATTCCTTTTCCTAAATAATTCAGCTACAGTCAAGAGAGGAGCTGGGAGGCAGAGGGCAAATACCTAAAATATGTCATCTGGTGTGGGTTTAGAAGCAAGGTTTTTTGGAATGAGTTCTGAGGAGGGCCATAAACTTCCATTTCATTAATGCATAATGAGGGTAATGGCTCTGATCCTTCTCTGCAGGGCTGTAACTACAAAAATAAAAAATCCTAGAGTACAAGATATGAGTGATCCTCATGTGTGACAATACCTGCTGTAAAATATACGAATGTTTACCTATTGGCTAGCTACAACAATTACATGTACTCAAGTATGATATAAGCATTAAAAAACACAGCAGGTTCTTCTTCACTGATACTAATAGCCAAATATAGATGCTGAGTACTAAACGATTTCTGAAGTCTACATTCTGACAGTAGACAATGCTGTGACCTTTTTAGTTTTTCCCTTAAATTCATAGCAATAGCAGGAAGGCCACCTCGCTCAAGAGATCTAATGTTTTTCTTTCAAATTATAGGACATTTATTCTTCATCACAACACTAGATAAAACCTTATAAGCAAGATAACTTGTCATTATCTCTACCTACCCTAGTTATCTTGGTCTATTAAGTGGCAAGATATTGAATGACTGCATAGACAAAGTTACTGATCATTTACACAAAAATCAGGAAGAGAATTGTAAAAACCTTCATTTTAAAAGTTGGGTTCTTATTTCTGTGGAAATAAAAGGGCAAGCTATTGGTTTCATGGAAATTGAAGTTTGTTGGGTTGAGGTATGGAGGGTAACTGAATTAAGGAATTAAATACTGAAATAAAAAGTCATTTAGCCTTACCCCAAGATTTACTAATCTAATACTCTTTGCAATGTGCCACTCACTTAGGACATGACAGCCCATAGGAATAAGATGACCTGTGTGCTACACTTAGCTCCACTGTGGACTAGTGTGTAAGTCATTTAATTTTTATGACCCTCTATTTCCTAATTTGTAAAATGCTAGAATATACGACATGTTCTACCTACCAGTCTGGTTTTTACAAATAATTTAGGATATGTGAGCTCATTTTTTTTTTAAATTGTAAAGCATGCTATCGTTATAACATATTTGTAAGTATGACTACGCCCTTCACTTTATCTATCATATTCAGATATGAGATTTCTCAGGTTGCTCTCAGCTTTAGGATTCAGTGTTTTAATAAAAATCCTGAACCACTGAAAGGATTATGCTCAGTGTGTTCTATTCAAACAAGCAGAGCAATGAGTAAAATGTTATAAATTTATTGCCTCAGGAGTACTTGAAAAATGAAGCTTCTAAGAATGACTTCCCCTTAGCAGTATCACATAGCTTAGGCCATATTTTCACATGGGAACATTTCAGCTGAATTTCTACATAATATTTTTCTTATACATCTGATGTCATACATAAGCCCAGATCTAGTAATGCCCTAATAATGTCTTAAATCGTTTGAAAAATATCAAAAAATTTTACTCCTAAGTATCATTCTTGGAAAACTGATTATAAAAATGGGTTGGGTCTATAAAATCATCACCAAGTCAAATATAACACATTCTTTCCAATATTAAAAGTTTCAGTTTTAGGAAAACCACTGATTTTTTGTTTGTTTGTTTACAAAGAGTTGCACCTAGGTTAATAAAACATTTTGAATGTCTTTAATTTGACCAATACATCTCTTTTAGTATTGCTCTTTTTATCCGTTATTATTATTCACTTTTAAATTTATATATAGTTAATTTCACTCTTTTTGTTATAGTTTTATGAGTTAGGACAAACATATATATTAATGAAACTACCACCACAACCAAGATACAAAACAGACCCATCACTCCAAAAAAATTCCCTTATGCTGCTCCTTTATAATTAAATCCTCTAGCCATCCCAGCCCTGGGCAACAACTAACCCAATTCTATAATTTTGACTTTTGAAGAATGCTATATAAATGGAAAAATAGAGTACATATTCCTCTTAGACTAACATCTTTCGCTCAGCATAATGCATTTGAGATTTTTCTGTGTTGTCTGTATGAGTAGTTTTCTCCTTTCTATTGCAGAGTAGTATTCCATTGCATAGAACATACCACAGTTTATCCATTTAGCCATTGGAAGGCATTTGAAATTTCCAAGTTCTTGGCTACTGTAAATAAAGTTGATTAAAAAAAACATTTGTGTGCACGTTTCTGTCTGCAAATGTCTTTTCATTTCTCTGGAGTAAATACCTAAGAGTGGGATTTCATATGGTAAGTGTATATTTAACTTTATAAGAAACTACTAAACAGTTTTCAAAAGTGACTGTAGGGCGCCTGGGTGGCTCAGTTGGTTAAGCGACTGCCTTCAGCTCAGGTCATGATCCTGGAGTCCCAGGATCGAGTCCCGCATCGGGCTCCCTGCTCAGCAGGGAGTCTGCTTCTCCCTCTGACCCTCCCCCCTCTCATGTGCTCTCTCTCATTCTCTCTCTCTCAAATAAATAAATAAAATCTTTAAAAAAAAGTGACTGTAAAAATTTGCTTTCTCACCAATATTCTATGTAAGTTTAAGTTTTTTCACTTTCTCACCAGCATTTATTATTATCAGATATTTTAATTTTTATTTTTTAGAGAGGGAGAGAAGGGGGCGGGGGGAGAAAGGAGAGAATCTTAAGCAGACTCCACACTCAGCACAGAGCCTGATGCACAGCTCTATCTCAAGACAACCTTGAGATCATGACCTGAGCTAAAATCAAGAGTTGGACCTTTAACCAACTGAGCCACTCAGGCGCCCCAATTATCAGATGTTTTAAAAAATTAAATACAACTACACTATAATCCAGCAGTTTCACTACTATTTACCCAAAGAATACAAAAATACTAATTCAAATGGATACACATACACCCCAATGTCTACAGCAGCATTATCTACAACAGCCAAATTGTGGAAACAGCCCAAGTGTCCATCAACTGTTGAATGCATAAAGAAGAAGTGGTATATATATTCAATGGAATATTACTCAGCCATAAAAAAAAGAATTCTTGCCATTTGCAATGACATGAATGGAGCTAGAGAGTATTATGTTGAGCGAAATAAGTTCGTCAGAGAAACACAAATACCATATGATTTCACTCATATGTGGAATTTAAGAAACTAAACAAATAAGCAAAAAAAAAAAAAGAGAGAGAGAGAAAGGTAGGCAAATTAAGAAACAGACTCTTAGCTCTAGAGAACAAACTGATGGTTACCTGAAGGGAGGTGGGTGGGGATGGGCAAAATAGGTGACAGGGGTTAAGGACTGCACTTGTGATGAGCACCAGGTGTTGTATGGAAATGCTGAATCACTAAATTGTACACCCGAAATTAATATTACACTGTATGTTAACTGGAATTAAATAAAAACTTTTAAAAATAAATAAATAAATAAAAATAAGCCATTCTAATAGGTTTATAATTGTATGTTATTATTGTGGTTTTAATTTGTATTTCCCTAGTGAGTAATGACATTAAGCATTTTCTAATATGCTTTTTAGCCATCTACATATCTACTTTGTAGAAGTGTCCAAATATTTTGCA